GGATGTGGGGGTGAGGGTCACTGTGGGATAGGGAGTTGGGGTGAGGATCACTGTGGGACAGAGTGTGGGGGTGAGGGTCACTGTGGGACATGGGGATGGTTTGGGTGGTGGGTTTGGGTGTCTCTGCCTGTGACAGTCTCTGGGTTTTTATTGGGGAGGTGTCACTGATTCAAACAATGCACTCGCCTGTGGGACGTTTTGGGGGAATGTTTACTTTGGTGAACCGAGAGAGGCTATAAATTTAATTTTGTTTTTTTTAAACTCGGTGCGTTGATTATGAATCTGTGGGCTGCAAAATGAGCAAGATGAAAAACGACCAGATTGAATAAAAAAATGCGGTTTGTGTTCATTAAAGACAGAAAAAATAAATGAAATATAAATAGAGCCAAGTAGATGTATGGATAATTGCAGACAGAGAGCAACAGAAAGAGTTTAAGTGAACAGCTCCCCTGTTTATTGATCTAATGCCAAACATCTTCCACACAAAGACCTTTTTTTTAACAGAAAGAGCCTTGACTGATCTTAAAATACACCAAGCTTTAGTTCCCGGTTCAATTCAGACTCAGGTAGCTTTTTGATGACTTGGAGGTGTTGAGGACTGCACATTACTATTGAATAGTCTGAATTCCATTGACCCTCACTCTGTTAGTACAGACTAACCCCCTACAGCGGGCAGGCAGACGTGCCTCATTCAATAGCAACTCTCCTTTTACAAAAACATACCGTAAGGGGTGTGACGGCCTGTGTCCGGCTGGTCTGTAGGGGCTGGTGGGCTGCTTTAAGGACGAAGCGTCATTGAACTGGCTGCTGACGTTCTCTAACTGCACACCCCCCCACCCAACCCCGGGTTTTCTTATATAGTACAGTTATTAAGTGCCAAAGATTTATTACAAGCTTGTGATACAAAGAGACAGCAGCGTCCAGCAAAAGGGTAAACGTTATCTTGCAGGAAGTTAACCTGAAGCGAAGGGAAATTATTCGACTTTCTAAGCAACAAGAATCTCTGGATTTAAAGAGACAGGTTTGTGCAATATTGCAATGCATTTTTTTTTAAAAAAATGTAATGGTTCATGTTAATATGAATTCAGTTCTGTTCGGATTTTAAGGGGGGAGAAATTTGCAAGTTTTCTTTCAAAGTTTGCTCCACAAAAAAATGCAATATTTGTGTGGGGAGGGGGCTGAAATAATTGCCCTTTTGTTGGGAAGATGAGAGAGGGTTGAGAAGATAAACAAGGAATCTACGTGAGTTTGGATGGGTTGGGAGGGGGCTGGATGTGTGGTGGGTGCTGTGAAACATTAAACAAGGAGCCAGGTCCCAATTATAATGAGTTACCTGTACAAAAATACCAACTGTAACCTCGTTGTTTATAATGTGTAAACGAACAGGAAAATTAAAATATTTTCCAGTACCTATTTCAAAAAAAAACCCCTAAAATTTACAAAAGAAATGTTCTTCTGGTAACATTCGTTATCGAGTCTTTGTCAATTAAGGAACAAAGAAGAAAATGTATTTTTACACATTTCTGACAACCAAAACGATGTAGGTCAATGTGGATGCAGCACATTTTATTGCAATATTTCAATCAGATGCATTTTTCTTTTTGTTGAAAAAAAGCAGATTTCTCTCTATTTCTTTTATTGTTTCTGTGAGAATTTATGATGAACTTGAAGTTGAAATGTAGATTCAACCACACTATCGACAAAATGCCCGTGTTCATGGTTGGTTTGCGGTGCGGTCGAGAGAGAGAGTTTCGTGCGGAAGTGGAGTTCTGATGTTTTTGAAACTCCGGAAAAATTCCCAAACTTTTTCGGAAGAAGTTTTGAGAAGGAAAAGGCTGTCTGTAGCGTCCTCTGCTGGTCGTGTCTGTAGTCTGCAGCTGCAGGCGCCTCGGAGACAAGACAGAGAACAGCAGGGGGATGATCCAAGAAATAAAACCTCACAACACATATCAAATTGGTTACCGCACCAAAACTTAGACACGCCCTCCAGATGCACTCAGGTGCATGTTATTTTAATGCATTTTTTTTGTCAGGTCTGGGGTTATTTTCGCTGGTTTAATTTTGATTCAGACTTTGCTGTTTCCTCCCAACTGCAGTATTTCTGTTTGGTTCTGAACTTTTCCGTCAAATAAAGCTAAGAATCAGTGTAAATATTTTCATTGATATACCATGTTTGGTTGAAGTACAAGTTGACAGCAGTTACTATGAAGTAATTTTCTCAAATTTGGAACAAGAAAACAAATAATAATTATTGCTTGAAAATAAACAGGCAAATTATTGTGAAATAGCTTAATGTTTCACATAACTAAACTATTATATAAAATGTAGTAGTGTCTAGTGTAAATAAATACCAATTTCAAAATGTTATAACCCTGAGGTTATAGCTTTAATTTGAAAGCTGTTGGATCAACCTGTTTAGCATTTAGAGTTGTTCTGCGAGCTCGAGGTGTTTAAGGCTATAGTGACACTGGGGAGCTTCACAATTTCATGATAATGGCCTCAGGGGCCAAGCACACAATCCAGCCTTAGAGATAGTAAGAACTACCGATGCTGGAGTCAGAGGTAACACAGTGTGGAGCTGGAGGAGCACAGCAGGCCAGCCAGCATCAGAGGAGCAGGAAAGCTGACCTTTAGAATGCTGACCCAAGAAGCGTCACGACTTGAAACGTCAGCTTTCCTGCTCCTCTGATGCTGCCTGGCCTGCTGTGTTCCTCCAGCTCCAC